CCTTCAAATTCCTGAAGGATTTTCCAAGTCCAAAGTGCCCTACCAAAGGTTGATGGAGTTGGGTGGGGGGCAGGTGTGGTTGATCTTTATATACAGAGCAAACAAAAAGTTTGGTAAAGAAATTATATTCATTCTCCCATGGCCTCCACACCTAGCATTCAGTCCAAATTTCAACCTGGAATCTACAGCTGGGGCCCAACTAACCTGCTCATTGCTACTCAGGCTGTAACCACAACTATTCAAAAACAGCGGTATTCCTTTTCTCGTAGAAGCAATACAGCTTGTGACAGGATCATTATTTTTTTTTTCCTTCAGCTCCCCATTAGTCAGCACTTTCTTTGGTCTCCTACTCAGGACATTGTTGTGAGTTAGCAGATGCTATTAAGATATTCTCTTATTGAAGTGATCACACTAATTTAAACTCTAAGCATCTCTAAAAATGTTAATTTTTTTGAGTTAGTCCCACGTTGGAGCGATTACTCCTTTGTAAGTTTCTTGTTTATTTAATCCAGAAGATTTAAATTTTGGCATTGTAAGACCTATATCTGTTTAAATATAGTAAAAGGTAAATACCTCTGCATGAAAGCTCTTCAAAAATTCATAACACTTCCTTTAGTTATTTCTTTACTTGATATATTTGTATATTTACAATTAATTTTAATGCTTGTAGAAAGAACAACTTATTTTGCTTGGTCCTTTCAATTCGAACAGGCAATCAATTTGATTATTATATTTAATAAATATTAGCTGTGATCTGGGATTTCAAAGAGATTTCTGTACATCAGTAAGAATCCAGCATTCAGACTGTTGCAAACCTTGTCTCATTTGCAGACAGAATTACCTAACCAATAGGCTCTGACAGTGATTACAATAGATCAATCACCATTATTTATGGATGTTGGCTGCTCTCAAAGTAACGCCTTCTACTTGCTTCCATAGAATCAACAATAGATACAAAGAGCACAATAACACTATTTGATACAGAAAACTCTCAGCTACAAAATGCTATTTTTCAGCACAGTTACCACCATTAATTATACACTATGCAACAAGAAAATAACTGATTGGAAGAGCTCAAATTCAGAGACATTCCAAGGCAGAAGCTAGATGAAAGTAAAGTCTTTTACAATTCCACCCTGACTTACGACAGCTGTGCAAAACATACTGCAATTCTCAAAATTTAAAAGGCAAAATTGTCTGAAATGTTACCCAACAGCATCTGTACTTATGTGAAGGGAGGTGTACAGATCTGTAATTCTCATTTCTTAGCTTTATTTATAATCACCCAGTAAGCAAAAGGAGAAAAATAAACATGAAGTTCAGACGAAAGCCAAAGGCATCATACAGTAATTACACTTGCTGCTCCAAATCCTGCATTATATTTGCTAGTCCTGTGTGGGCAACCCAGACAATACAGAGATATCAAAATGACAATACACACATCTATGAGCATGGTGCCCAAATCATCCATTCCTACCTATCATGCTTACGAAGTCTGTATTCAGGTACCTGAATCTCACTTGAAATGCCAAAGATCATGAAAACCTGGGGAATTTTATTTTTTTAAATCTCACATATGCTTTACTTTATGTTCACCTAAATATGTCAAGACAGCTCAAGATTGTGAAAAAAGATAAACAACCAGACAGAAATTCTGTCAGCAGCCTCTTCCAGATCAGAAGACAGTTTTTCCCACACCAAGTGCCTCCAGCTAGAATGACAGTCTCAGTGCATATTGAAACACAGGCTTGCTCTGTTTAGTAACAAAAGCTCTCACGTTAAGCAATAAACAAAGCCATTTAGAAAGACATATTCCACAGCTGTCCTTCACTCAAGACCTCCCAGGTCTCCCTGCAGCAATTTCAGTGTTTCTACACAACACACGCCCTAAGCTTTCACCCAACCTCTCCAACAATGCCCAAACACGCAAGGTGCTGACACCACCTACCAGAAGCCTACTCCACTCCATCAGAAATTCACATTTGGCCCACTAGACATAAAGCAGCTCTTCCACACAACGCATAAAGCTGCTTACATGAAACACTGAGCCTCTCTGAACAGCACTCACAGCTCACTTTATAATCATAATTCTGACTAGATATTTATGTTTTTATACAATAGAATTTTCAAGGACAATTAAAAGAGAGCTTATCTTGTAAATATTTTTTCTATCGATTTTATGTTCATCCCATTCAACTCAGCTCCTTCCCAGTAGCCAAAAGTAGAAAAAACAATACCTGTTTCACTGTATACATGCATTTGTATATTGAATATATATGCATGTGTGCATCCAAAAATTACTTATTACGTAGCACATTATTTGGATTATTATTTATGTATTCTTATCATATGATATTTCCAGTCATACAAACACATTCATTCAGATTAGCTGCATCTTACTGTGTTCTACTACCAGAATGGCAAATCACTGTATTAACAGGCAATGCATAATGACATTATAAGGTGACATATGGTCAAAACTAATATGAAATATGAATCACCCACTTCTTCAAAGTCTGATAAAAAAAAATGCTTTAATATTGGATGGATGAGATCCTGATAACACCTGTAGTTACAATATCAAATTAAAAGGCATTAGCTGAAGTAGCCAAAACGACAATAGCTACCTTAACAGGAGGTAATGTGCACTACACTCATCACTGAAGTGGGATAATTATAAATTACTTACAAAATGTTAAACAAGCAGTATGACAAGACAACATTTAGTAACAGACCACCTTCTTTCTCAAGAATAAAAATGAGTTACAGGAACAAAAGGTGAAGAAGAAAGACAAAGACTCCCATCAGACATTACTGATGAGGTTCTCTCTGTACAGTGGAACTCTGGAAAATCAGCCCAAATTAATTTAACTAGATTTGTCCAAGTCTGTTAAATTCCTTTGCAAACACTTTCATCTGGGAGTAAAAATGTGGTGTTAATTTGGCTCAGCTCATCTTGCCTTTGAAGTGAATTAAACTAAATCCACTGGAGGCCACTTTAATAATGAATGGAAGAGTGTACACAGAGACTAGGTGGGATCTAAGCCGTCCCCTTTAAATTTCTGCATTTAGTTGACTTCCATCAATTCTCCTTGGTATCTTGTACAGATGAGTCCTGGCCTGATACATTAGACCCAGAAGTGAAAAACAGAGAATGAGGGAAGACGTGCTGAAAAGTTGTCAGTCAGCACAATAAGGCCCTGTGGGAACTATCAAAGAGAAAGGCTGTTCAACTTCAGAAATGTTATTTAAAACATTTATTACTTGCTTGTTTACTGGAATTCCTTGAAGCTAGAAGTATTGACAAAAGACTCTGCTAAATTACCTTTTGAGGAGACTTACTGAAAAACTAGATACTAGAACCTTATATTGCAGGCTAAGATAAAAGAATGTAGGGAAGATTGAAAAGATAAGGCTGTGCTTAAAAGCTACAGCACACTCCTGCTGCAGAAACATCACAGAAAGCTAAAGACGCTCAATATCTTAAAATATCTGAATCCCCTTCAAATCTTCTGAAACAACTACAGTCACCGCAGCAAGGGCTCTCAGAGGTGCTTTCCTGGCGCCCTGTGCCAGATGAGAGCAGGGAGGTAAATTCACTACGCAGGCAATGTTCCACCTCACCGTGCTGCAGGAACACTTTTACAACTGTCTTTTCATGGAGCTTGAGAAGGATTTCATAGTACTACGGCACTATGCATGATCTCAGAGAGAAATATGTCATAGATAAATGAGAAGTTCATGGAAAGAAGGGTCCACAACAGAAATGAGCCAAAAAGCGGGACAGAAGACCTTTCCACATCCATCCCCATCAAGATTTTTCCAGCATATAGTAGTTTTATTGTTATGATGTCTTTGCATTCAGGCAGGACAACAGATAAGGGCCAGAACATAAGACAGACAGAGCATCTCCCTTATTTTATTCACACAAGTTCTCACAGCATGCTAGTTTTTGTCTGGCAGAAGGCAGCGGAAAGGTAATGTAGTGCCACTGATAAAAATGGAATTTCTCTAAAACAAAGCTTCATTTTAAATCAAATTCAAGTATCAATTATTCTTTTATATGGGAGAATAATAAATACATAGGCAGTATCTTGTACTGTACTGAAAATACAATCTGAGACCTCTTATTAAATGCACAATTTCATTAAGAAACATGTCTCTTCCACTACAGTGTACCTCTACAAACCACAAGCAATTAGAATAAACTATATTTTCTTCTTATTTTGAATTTTTTCTTCGTTTTTTCCCTTACATTTACACATTGTTCATTATGCTTCCGCAAGAAAATATTATTCTGAATGTATTCCTCCAAATTTCAGCCTTCAGATAAAGAAGGTACCCTGGCAAAAGCTCTAATCTTACTGTTTCTTCTATCATCCATATATTAAATACTTCACAATTACTCTGCATGCAAACAATTTACCTCAGTAAGTAGAAAAGTGTGATACTGAATAATTATTATTAGGTATACAATGTAGGGTTTGTTTGGTTTTTAACATAGAATTGCATCATAAGTTAACACTTAAGCCTACATGAAAAGCATGCAGCTCAAAACCTAGCACAATGAAAAGCAGAATAATCACTAGCTGTTTCTTATGTTTTGAGTTATTTAGTCTCCTGCTTCTACACTGGGAATACTATAACTGTCATAGCAACATGAGGCTACATCTTCATTTACAACACAGATAATTTTTTAGGTTGTGTTATTCATGCATCCAGTTTGCTAAGCACTGCAGTAAATATTTAATAGGAGTAGGGAGCAAGGAACAGAATACACAGGTATGATGCAATGGTACTCCGCAATCAGGAAGCAGCTCAACCTCAAACTGCTTTACAACAAGTTATTTCCTCCAATACTCTCACTTAAGAGCAAACAGCTGCTGCTAAAAGCTAGACTGCCAAGATTAGTTCTCCTGTTAAGGCTGCTTGTTCTTGAGCCATAAATAGATACAAAGCAGTTTAAAGCTACCTTTAAGCAAGTTTTTCATTTCACTTACTGTGAACAGACTTTTCATAAGATTTCCTTGAGGCAAGTGTCTGATAGGCGTTATGCTGCTGGTTTTTGGTAAGGAAAATACTCCATTTTTGCCACAGTAAAAGGTATGAATAAGCAAAATTGTGTCCCCTGAGAAATCTGCAAAAAAAAAAAAAAAAAGAGACAAGATATTAATCATTGCTTTTATTCCACGCTATTTGAATTACATCAATCTCTGTCAAAAGACAGCTTTGCCTTTGACAGCAATAGCTTAATAGATGCACTACTACCAATGCAGATAATTGGTAAACGCAATAAATTGCATTAAAAAGATTACTTGAGCAGCTGCAGTATGAAATGTTTGTAAGCTTATATAGGGTACTTACTGATAAAACTATGCAACCATTCCTTATTTTCTCCTACACGGACATTAGAAAAAGGTTCTGATGCTCAACTGTATGCTCGGTGCACAGGCAACACTAAGAGCTCAGTACAGTTTTTTAAAATGGAGTCTCATGCATTTTCAGACCTTGAGGTAAATAACTCAGCTGCTGTTTATCAGTTGTCTGTTTTGAATTCTGCATCATTACTTATACAAAGGCAATGCATATAATGGTGATTCTTCTATGTTCCCCATAAAAATACCGATTCCACTGAATGGTTCACCCCACAGCTTCAGTGACAGACAGTGGTATGAAAATTTCCCCTCTTGAAGTGTCTTAAAAAGAAAGGAAGAACGGAACTTCTGAGGTTGAGATCATGTATAAAAAAAGCAATCTTGGAAGTTCTCATATACACGTAACAGAGAGCACATCAAGTTACTGCTCTGGAGCCTAGCCAGGCACCCGTGAAATGTGATGGAATTCAGCTCAGCATATACAGCAGCTAGGTAAGCAGGAAGGAGCTCATACAGACATATTATGCAACCAAACTGAAAGGGCAAACTTCCCCAACCCCACAACTCCCATCATTGTTTCTCTGAGAGGAAGTTCTTTGGTTAATGCATTTATTTTAGTGAAGTTAAATAAGAAGAATAGAAGGTCTAGTTCTATTTCCTATTAAAAAAAACGATGCTCAAAATGTCATCTGCAACATTTTCAGAGCAACTAGAAATACAAAGGAGAAAATACAGAGATATGAAACTTGGAAGCTTGAATGATTCATTTCACATCCTGAAGATGCATAATTTAATGTAGCAAATACTTTCCGTGTGCTTCACTTGAACTATATAAGTAATTGATGATCTTTGAAGAACCCACTAGTAAAACTGGAAAATGTTCATCTGATACACATGTAGAGATGGAAAGCACCTTTCCACCCATGTGAGTAGTACAGAACAGTATATCTATCATAAGATGTATGTATTGAAGGTCAAAGGTAAAACTGGCTTTGTCATGACTCATTTCTTTGCCAGGTAATAACACAAAACACACAGTTCTTCTTAAAAATAAAGGCAAAAGAAGTACTGTACTATTGCAAGTCTGTGCTGTTTTCTTTGAATCTGTTTCTTCCTCGCCATAATTCACTTGCAAATTTCTAGTGATAGTCTAGGTATACTTCCACTTTATTTTCAGTCTAGACTTTCACTTCATTTCAAATCTAGTAACATGGTTAGAGAGTCTATTCTGAAGTTACCTAGTATCAAGAGTGGCTCTCCAACCTCTTAAAAAATACATAAAATACTCTAAAACAGCAAAAAGTCCCTCTTTCATTTAATTAAATCAATTTCTTAGCATTAAGTTTTCTCTCCCTACAACTAAGATGCAACCACCTCTGAAGTCATAAAAGTTTTTAATTCTTTTACTGTAATTCAGACAATCTTAGAAGTAATAATAATAAGCAGGACATTCAGGTTCAACAAGGAATACTGGAAGCTGATGCATCAAGGAAAGTGTCACAAAGAAAGATGCAGAGGAATTGGATGCAATAAAGAAAAAAGCATCGGTAATTAACAGACACCCAAAATCTGATGGTAAAACAGTGCAGCCTGATTTTGAGTGCTGCTGAACATTTCTAACCAACTTCAATGGGATGAGTGGATATTCAGTGCCTCTGAGAAGTAGACTGCCAGTTCTAACAGCCACTGTCGTCACCATCCATCATTACGTGCTATGAAAAGCAGGACATAGTTGGAGTTAAGTAAGTGAAACAGGAAATTTAGAAAGCCAGAGAAAAATATGGAAGTTCCCATTAATTGCAAAGTAAGCCTGAAGGCATTGAGACAAAAACCCGTTCAGCACACTGAATATCAATTTCTACAGGCACCAGCTTAAGAAAATTATAATGGCGCCTGTTTCTTTACATGTACACCAAGCTCACATAGGTGAACAGTGCCTAGACTTCTATAGTCTCTCCTGAAACAAACTGCTCATCACAGACCGTAAGACAGTAAAGAGGAAGAGAAAATACAGAAGAATTTGAGTCCGCTTCGAGCTTTAGTCTTCAAATCTGATGACAACAGAACTCTAAGGAATTATGACACATTTTGCAGTTTACCGCAAGCTTTAGCACATAAGCATCTTCCACCAGCTCAATTCACTGAAGAAGGAACTATTTACATCTACATTTTAAAGCTTGTCTTAAACGCAGATTTCAATAACAACTGTATTTTTGCCTTTTTCCCCCAATAATAAGCCCTTAAAAAAAGAAAGATTTAAGTATTCACTTATCCAAAGTGATATTCCCTGTTTCACATTTATACATTGTTAAAGACATAAAGACATAAAGAAATTCTCCCAAGTATCAAGGCAGAAAATTCTTTTTCCTGCTTATTAGACAGAAAAGCAAGGAAGAAAGAAGGAATCTTCTGACTCTTGATTCAAAACAAAAAGACGCAAAGATGGAATGGAGACAATTTCAAAGATGATTTAAAACTATATTTGTGCATCATATGAAATTGAAACAGCTGAGAAGGGGCCAGAAAAAGAGAAAATTATCTCGTGAGAGCAACTAGTCCCACAGCAATCTATCAGAAGTGTTTGGCAAGACTATGGATCTCACAGGAGAGAAAACAATTTTGCTGGAAACCTTACTCTACTGTCATCTTTAAAAATAGACAACTAATTGAACTCCTCAAAATGGTGGTTAAACGGGTGACCGATCATAGCACGAGAAGTGGAGAAACAGAATAACTCATTCCACTACTCAGGTTTACAAAAACCTATTTGAAAACATGTTTTTACAGTTAGTGTCAACAAACTTTCCAGTAAATTGGTCGGTCAGTTTTACCAGTGCACGTGTGCACTATCTCCTCATCTAAGTCAGATTTTCTCTTATTTACAAACATTTTGGAAGAAACAAAAAAAAACCCTCCTGATTTTCCACTGAACCACTCAATTAACCAGAAGTATTCACAACAGACAGAATGATCTAATTGCTTGAAGCTGCAGTCAACAGACACAGAAAAGCAAAGCATCTATTGGCCATAAGACTTAAAAATAAGCTGAATTTTATCTCCTTGAAAATATATTTTTTTCCAACCACTAACATCAAAGGAAAAGTAGGGGTGTCAATAAAATGAGAACATTATCATAATGAACTAGTCAAATGCTTAAACTTGGATCTGAACTGAGATCATGCCATGCACACCCTATTTGTGCTTTAAGTACCAGAGATGTATGTGGTTATTTGCAACATAAATGCTACTCAAACTGCACAGCAGATAATATTTTCTGATACGCAACATCAATGTTAATGGCAATAATCTTTAAAGATCTTCAACTAAAAAGAACTAAAAATAACACTTTCACAAATAGATTTCATCAAAAAGAGACTGAACTGCTACTTCTTCAGCAGCTTCAGACAACCCTGAATCTGCTCTGCACTGTTTTTTTTTAAACAGCTTATGTGACCATAGAGTCTGCATATAGACAGACGTGTTTGATTAAATCAGACTGCCAGTCTCCTGGAGTTAAGCCATAGCCAAAAGGTGCAAAATTATGTAAACAACCTCCAGCAGGGGACCTGAAAATCTGGCTCTGCATTTTCTCTATAGTTCAAGTGACAAAACTGAAAGCCTTGAGCAGGGTGCTCCCCAACAAAAAGGCATCCTGAGAATTTCTATTATACTTGCCACCACTACTGACAGATGATTAGGAAACTTCCACATAGCAATTTACCTCGTCAATGTCAGAGCCTGTTAGGATGTCACCCCAGCACGTGTCACTACTGAAGGTTCGCCATGGAAGTCTTTCTGAACTATCAGCCCTGTTCCAATCCAATCAAGACTTTGGAACACGATCATCTCATCATATTGTTCTCTCTCTTTTCCATGAAGGCATCCATCCACTAACTACTGAAGATGAAGACATGTAGATTTTCAAACTGAGTCTTCAGCAAAAGCCTCTTTTTCCACACAGAAATCAAAAGTTATGGACAAGAAATGGATGAAGTTTCTTACTCAAGAAATCTGGCTGAGGAAAGGACTTGAACTACTAGAATATATCACTTTGTCCTCGCATGGAAAAAAGTACTAAAGTAACACTTACAATGAAAGGATAGCTAACAGGTCAATATGCTTTCATCTCACCTTGGCAAAACACTGAGGATGCAGAGGATGCATTGCTAATGGAGTAAGGAAGAGCAGAAAGGATCTGCAGCCACTTCTCTGTATTTCTAATAGGCTGAACAAAATACAGCAATGGTTTATTTTAAACTCTTCCTCACCATATGTGAAGAAGCAAAGAAAAAAATTCAGTTTTTAGTTTTTATAGCTCTTTCGCTCTCACTTCTAGGCTCAGCATCTTTCTCCTGGTCATGACTAAGCTGGCTACAATATCAAACAGCGTAACATACATTATTTATTCTGAAAATGAACAGTGAGGAGAAACACCCCATTTCAAGCACCATTTGCATTTTGCTGCACTGTTTCTGTGACAAAATAACCTCCAGTATTCTTGCAAAAGAACATTAGCACTTAAAGAAAAAAAACTTTTTGATTGTGCAAGCTAAAGCTGAAGTTCATTATACAAGCATATCAGAAGTTGCACCTTCAGGCACAAATGTGATAAGCAGTAAGTAGCACACAGTCTTGTGACCTTCAAGGTTTACAAACAAGCTCTAACGTTTTTCAGAAACAGCAGCTAGTTCTTAACACTGCGGGTACCGACCTGTTCAGTTTTGTCTGGACCCATCTATCTGCTTCCAGCCAATAACATTCA